CTTGGGTATATGTATGCATACTATTTCACAATAAAAGACAAACAGTTATAATTAAATCACAATTCATATTTATGACAATATAAATTAATATTTAATTGCCAAAATGCTGGCCTAAACAACATGTACATGTAGATTCACACGCATTATCAGGTGAATCTACAGAAAAGCCCCCTCCCCCCATTCATAAACTAACATGAAATATAAATACTCTACATTTTAAAAAAAAACAACCTCGAATAATACCGCAAACTCAGAAAACTATTCTACGCCTCACTCAATCTGTTTGTCAATGGAAACAATGTCCGATACATTCTTGCTTTCTACGCTCGGCAGAGCTTGAAATAGTTTAGAATTACATCTTCAGAGAACAAAATTGAAATGTCACAAGTCCCAATCTCGGAAAAGAGAAGTTCTTTATATTCTTTGGTGGCAGAAAGTAGTATACATGTAGAACTGACATGACAATTCTAATTAATAAGTTCTATATACAAAAAACTGTCTTTTTCTGAGTTGAAAACTTTGGGCAACACCCCAAATTAATTCCTGGGTCCACCGGTACCCCTGGTACCTACAATTCAATGAACCATATATAATGTTGAAAATGCCAGACATCGACAAAGCAGCAGTTCTATATATTTGTAAAATGACCACTTGCACAATCGAAAAGATTGATATTTGTTAACTATATAGGAAACCGTATAATGATATAATAAGGCATTTTATTACAAACTGTCATAGTACATTTATCTTGAGAGATACTTTCATGTCAAAAATAGTAGATTATTACGGTGTTCAGTCATATATTGCTCTCTCAAACGTAACAGAAGAATGTCTACTTCAGGCAATATTTAGAGGAACAATTCCAGATTTTGCCTCGTTAATAAATGTCCAGCTCCAGTACTTCTTCTGTGAATGCGGCGAGACTCAAGTTAAGTGTGACGGCTTGTTGTTTATTCTTGAATGAATACTCATCAGCTTTCTGGTTATCCATCGTTTTCAGAATCTTTTGTCCTAACTCTTTCGCCCTGTCTACGTTTACTGTTGTTTCCGCCGTAACTCCTGTTTCAATGTTTCTTAAACTGTTGTCCCCGATAAATGGATTCCTCTCGGACAGAAACTTTGACAGGATCTTGGCATCTTTGGAATCACGTTGTCGTCTTGCCTCGCCGTCTTCTTTGTGTTGTCCACTTGTGTTGAATTTGACTCCTGTGAGATCCTGCATTGCGTCATTCATTTGCGCACAATCTGGCATGGACAAGATCCATTGGGCGCGCTGCATTTCTGCCATTCCCCTTCCTATCGTAAGTCCACCGGTTGACTTTATGCTCCTCATCAACACGTGTTCTATAGCAAGATCAGATGATATACCGGACCAGTACTTGTCGCTCCGTCGTATTACGCCGTAACCAGACCTAAGAAAACCATACACTTCTGGGTTTTCTGATTCTAACTGATCCATTTGTTTGAGTTAAATCCGGGCCGACTTTACGTACAAATTATGCCCTGAAGCGGCCAAATATGGAAGCATAGCTCTAACAGTTTGCAGATGAAGCAACCAGTCTCCTATGCGCTATGCTTTGATGAACTTCTGCAATACGCTGACCATATCATGATACATAAACCACAACTGTGCAGTCCAATGATTTGCATGCTGTTCTCTGAACTCGTCGAGCTTGGCCTGTATTTGATCCAGAACATCGTCGTTGCAGACATCTATAGCGGTAGTAGTTCCTTCTAAAAGTCCATCGAGTAAGTTTGCAGCGTGTTGTATGTCCCTGTTGTGTGATCCATGCAGGTTTTCGAGAGTAGCAGAATGTTCCGATTCCAACGGAAGTTCGTCGATAACTGCTGAAGCTGGAATTGGAACACCATGGACATGCTCAATGACAACCGAGGTAAGTGCCCGATCAACAAGAAGATGTCCTCTTACTGCTCTGGAAATCGCTTTCCCGCTAAGCATGTGAATAACTGAGTTTGCAGCATATATAGTCTCCAACAGCTCCGTTAGTCCCGAACCAGCCATCAGATGACCTATGCTTCCTGTATAACTCATTTCTGTGTGAAATCCGCCAAGTTTCAGTACCAAAGACTTCAACGGACTGCCCTGTGGTTCATTGGCGATTATAGTGGCCGATTTCCAATACAGTGGTTGATCGAACGTAATGATGGGTGTACATTTATGGGATTTGGCTTCCTTGCACACAAAGTGAAGAGTCGAATTGATACATGTCAAGTCACTTGGGTTCATATCTATGATAGGGAGAAACTGTATAGAAGACTTTCCTGGATATGTACCTTCCGTAGCCTTGTGCATCATCGCCGACCAGCTTGGACTAAGACTTCTGAGAGGCCAACTTACAGATGAGAGCAAGTCCATTTTCCATGTTGGATCTTCAATTGCCATTTCCTTTAGAATATCAAAGACGAGGGAACCAGGAAGTTTAGCATAATCAACTATATTGATTCTGGCGATATTGGCTATTTCCTGCAGGGAAGGATTCTGCCGGGGAACGATCCTCTTTCTGATGATACCAGGAGTGATCGCCGCTATGATACCCATACCATGGAAAGTTCCGTGGCCGTCGATGGTACCAACATTGTGATCGACGTTATCAGCAACATATTGGATAAATGTTCCTTCAGGGAGGGTTGTGACATTCTCCTCGACTGTAGCTGCGTTTAGCTCATATTTTTGCACCTCCGAGTAGGATACAGCAAACCCCAAGTTGTTTAGGACATCCAGAAGAAAGCGGGAACCAAAGTGGTGGTGCATCTGGACACCAAGAGCTAACTGAAGGGGAGCTATTACTGTTCTGGGACGCGCTGCCTGGACAATAGCTTGCCCGATTGCCGCAATCTTGTTGTTGGCATCTGTAAGGTTGAAAATTTCTTTCAGTAACATCTTCAAGGTTGTTGGGAGGTAATCTAAGTTTTTGTCTGATGCGGAAATGTCCTCTGGAATAGGATAATGGGTCTTTGTTGTGTCCATTGATCGTATGTCAGCTTTAATGAGCTTTGCCGCCATTTGTACTATCGAATGCTTTTCCTGATCAGGGTCCTGTTGCGGTCGTTCGTAAAAGGTTTGAAGAAGCGTGGACACATTTCTTGTAAAGGTAAGCACGTTGTTCTTGCCGTTGATGTCCGTGACGGTAATATTTGATCCAAAGTTATTTAAAACTCTGTTTTTCATGTGGGCTGTACCGAATGCATCCTCACCACAGAGTTCTTTCATGTTTTTCACCAGATCGGATATAGCAATCTGCTCCACTTCGCTGTCTTCCAGTTGTCTAATCACTTGTAGAAACGCATCTTCAGACCTTGAACTTTTTGGTCTCCCAGTATCGCATGGTACTTTTTTCTTCGGTCGGCCGGGTGTTGCTTTCCCGTCGGATTCCATATGTAGAGGTCATTTGGCATTTGTCTTCCCGTACGAAAATTGACGCTTCACGTTTGATAATAAACTGCATCCGCTGCGTGTAGATCTGATAATGCAGTTTCCAGTCTGTTTAAGATTTGTTTCGACCATTCATCGTTCCTTTTCTCACAAGCGATTGTCATGGATTTCTTAAATCCCGTTGTTCGTACCCGGATAACATCGTAACCCCTTTGCGGTCATTAATTTTTGCGATTCGTCCACAAAACAGACAGTTATTTTTGAAATTTAAAGTGTGCGTCCTTGATCTTAAATGTTTGCACGTTTGGTTGTGGACATTTGCCTGCTGTTAACGCTTTCGCATTGACATAGTCCCGTCGGCAGCATTGATGCAGTTTCTGACCAGGAGAAGCGATTACATTGTCTCGTTTTAGCAAACTAACTCTGTTTATGGTGTCACTGCCCTTTCCCCTAAGAAGCGTAATGGGCCTGCCATCATCTAGAGAATCCCCACATATTCCGCAGGTTTCCATTGACACCTGCAAAAAATGTAAAAACAAAAGTTGTTTTAAGAAAATTATCTTATAGTCCGGAACACAGTTAAGTTATATCATGTGTACATGGTTATGACGGTTTAATTGCTATTGGAAATTGAAAAGAAAATGACCTAAGAAAGAAATAATACTTAATAGGAAATAAGCAAATTAAAGCAAACAAAACACACTTTAGAAAATAGGTCAAAACACAAGATGTATATATACTCACCACACATGTCTTCACAAATAATCTCCGTGGTAAATCAAGGTCAAAACTATTAAAATGAAGATTCTATAACAAAATTAACTATATAAAATTAAAAATAAATTAACAAAAGATAAATATTTAGAGTAACACACGCATTTTTAAACGTCATATGACAAAAGAAAAATTGCAAAATGTGTACGCAAAATGCCATATTTTGCTATTTTTGGCTGTGCTGGGCTTCCATACTTTTATTTTTTTGACAATCTGAATAGTAGGATTTTCATAAAATAAATTATGGCTAAAAACTCTAATCGTGTAATATAATGTACGAAAACAAACTTATTAACTACTCTTTACGTCATTTAGTTAATCTACTTGGGGGTCTTGATAAGTTTTCAACGTCTGAGAAAATGTAAACAAACTGAACAAGACCGGTCTGTTTCCATCACGTAGTTTCAACAAATAACATATCAATTTATGTTGATTCATGTTGAAAACATCAACATATAATATGTATGTGTCAAACATGTATTACAAGCCATAACAACAGTTACATATACTCACCAATATTAAAATTATCCCAGCGAGAAAATTCGTCTGCATATCGGCATTATCGTCTGCATATTGGCATTATCTCCCTTTGGTAACTCTTTAGTCTACGGCGGCCCGTATACGTACATGCCATACAATTTACGATCAAAATTGCAATATTTAATCAGCGAAATAAACAACTTCCCGATTTTTTTCGTCGTCCGATTTTTTGTGGAGGGTTAATAGATGTATATAATTTGTGATTCAAGTGGTTTTGTCTTTGTTGCAGTTAATTATAGGTTAAACCGTAGTTTGATTAGTCTACAAGCATTTTAATATAGTCACGTGATGTTGGTGTCGATTCCGAAAGGCTCCAGGAAGTTAAATTCAACTAGGCTGGAGTTAGTCGTGACATATCAGAGAGATAAACACGGACAGCATGGCTTTAACACAAATAGGCATGGTCAACAATCCCGTAAGTATATTTATTCATTTCGTGGAACTGCCAATTATAAATATCTTGGACTTTTTAATCAGTTTATCTACTGTTATATATAATATCAGGCCGGGGACAGGAAGACAGTCAACGTTGACAGTTATCTGCTTATATTTTCCCGTCCATTGTTTAACAATTACCATTCTAATGGAATGGATATCATAGTAGAACTGATTGTAGTCGGTGCTTATATTATTCGATGTGTTTACATGCATGGATAAATTGAATAATATATATTCCTCTATACGAATAAAGTATGAGAAAACGAAAGTAGATTTCTTTGAATTGCACACAGGTGCATAGATTTTTGCGAATTGCACACAGATGCATGGATCGATAGCGTCCGTCTCTACAACACCCTACCACCCACTTAAAGTTTTCCGGTATTGAGTAAGATTACTACCACTACTACAGATACATGTACCGATCAGAGTAGTCTTGCTGAAGTCCGAGTTTGTGTGCAATAATTTATAAACACACATATTTATATATTTGTGTTTGAAAAATATCTCAAGTCCTGTTAAAACATTCACATTGAAGAGAGAGAAAAAGAGATAATAAGATTTTTCCATACCCAGGCTGAGGGGTGTAGGATAGAGAAATTCCACCTTCATATGACTTCAAATTGGTGCAATAATAATTTATGTCAATTTAACACTGTTTTTTAAAAGCACTTTATGCTTCTAAAGGCGTTTCCTTGTAAAACTTAGTTGATCAGTCCGGCAACACTATAAGAAGTAGGTGAAAACTTGGACTATTCATGGTGCCAATGTTAAGGCGTGACTTGAAAGAGTTCAAGGATTTTGGCCACGATTATTCATAATTATATATATTACGGTCATTTGATGCAATGATACGTGTAGTGACCGAGACCCTGTCTCTCTCTGTACTCAAATGATAGACAGGCCAGCTGTGACGCCCCATCTATATCTTCCTTAAGTTAGTATATATAGTGAGTATGCATATTTTGAACTTGGTACGAGGTCACATGATATATGTGGCACTGGCATGACTCATACGATATCCTGTTCATCACGTGTACCCATTCTGACACGCCCCCTTTACATATATATATATTATCTGCAAAACACTTTCAGTGTGAGTAATGACAGCAACCAATATATGTTGTATGGGTAAAATCATCAATCGACAAATAAAGACATTAATTCGCTCCAAAAGAGAATCAAAAATCAAATTTGTGTCCCTGTTTTTTCTATCATTGATCTTTCGTGTCCTTTGGTTCACTAATTTTGTCTCTTTATATTTCGTGGACAATTTCTTCCTTCATATTCACTTTGATTCATTTGGTTGACGGGTGATAAAGCAAGAACCAGATATTACAAGAGAAAAATGTCACTGTCCCTTCAATCTAGGTATGTGGAATTTACTGTATAAATGTCATGTAAACATGATCTCTTAGTCAGAAAATGATGCAACTTAAAGTTACTGTTGACGTGACATTAATTGGTAAAAGTGGCAAAAAGATGGAAGGAGGAAAGGATGTAGGATGAAATCAAAGTTCTACTGTATAACATGAAATGTTCGTTGTGTAGAAACATTCGTGGGTTTCGGGGTTGCTTTTGAACCACGATAATAAATACAAACAAATTTGGAAGATATACGACACGTGTCTACTGTTTGTTGATATACATTTGTAAGATGTCCACGAAAGTTTGTACCATGAAAGTATCTAAATGATTTCAAACCAGGAAGGAAAGTACCCACTAACATTTCGTGTTATACAGTATTATAGCTGATAATCAACTGAGTTTGTGTATATTTCAGACTCTCCCATACACTGGGAGTATCCCAGGAGGTCTTTCACCCGGAAAGCAGATCTTTATCCAAGGGGTCCTCCCCATGACTCAGGAAGGGTAAGTAAATTAATTAGATGGCATAGGAAAGACCAGATTTATTTGCTGATTGACATCATACATATACTCATATACTGTAGTTGCCAATGTGAAGCTGCATCTATAATGTATAAGCAAAATAGACTTAAAATTTTCTTATTTTCTCCTGAAATTTTATCAACCATAAATTGTTTTTCCCTGTGATACCCTAATATCAACTTAGTGGATTTCAGTTAGCTCAGATGACGTTGGTAATGTGATGAGATAAGACTAATATGAAGGGCTGTATCCTCGAATTTCTAAGGTTTTGCTCTTTTATGTTCCCTGCACCCCTGGAATATGTCATGATGAAATTGAAGGCTCTGCATGCACCATCTACTGGTAGACTCATTTGATCCTTTGATGAAATCAAAAGATATTTGCACGGAAGCGTATTGATAAAATTGACGGACTTTGAAATTGAGTGTCACTCCTCTTCAAATCTTCAAAGAACAGGTATCAGCCTAGCGATTGATCTGGGTTTTTTTAAACCTGAAACAAATCAAATAGCTAACCACATATCTTCAATTTTGTTATGACATTATTATTGTGACTATTTATCAATTAAAAACTCTCCTTCAGGTCCATATAACCACATTTGCACCAAAAATGAAAATAAAAGTCCTTAACTGATAGATACTAAAGGTGTTTTATCATTATTTTAAACAAAATAAAAAATACATCGAATTTGTAAAAACTTTTGGGTGCAGTTTTGGCAAATTACAGTGAAGCAAAAACAAATTATCATATAAAAAAGACTGATTCACGACTTCTGTTGACTACATGTACAGTGAAATCTGTCTAATCCAACATCATGCAGGACACAACAGACATTTATGTTTGTCAGATTAGACAGGGTACCTGAATACACAGTTCTTTGTATTGTAGTGTTCATTAGAAATAGTATTTTACATTATTATTTTGTATAATATAGGGTGTCAGTTATTCTGGGGTCGTATAACACAGGTTTCAGTGTAGTTGTAAATAAGTTAAATATGGATATCTATTTTGACTCTGTGTATCGACCATTGTTGTATTACAGTTTTGCCCTGAACCTTCAATGCAGTGCTCACACCTATCCTAAGGTTGAGGTCGCTCTTCACTTCAATCCTCGCTTTAATCAGGGTGTCGTGGTACGAAACAGCCACCAGAAAGGCTGTTGGAAGAAAGAGGAGACGTATGGCAACTTCCCATTCCACCCCGGACAACCATTTGAAATTATCATTGCTGTGGAGACAAGCCAGTTTAAGGTATGATACCGTACATCGTAGGGCTGTTCCAGACTCAATAATCGACTAGTATACAATTAGTTGAGTTTACATGATATATAGAGGATATTGATTTTATATGGACTTTTGTTGAGGCTTTATCAACCTGGGAAAGCAATATTGACGGAGACGAAGTTAATACATTAACAGCTTAGTTGTTTCAGTTTTACAATAGCAAGTAATCTAGTATGAAAGGAAGAAACTTTCTCAACATGTATGTATCTGCTTCACTACCTTAAATATTTTATAAATGATACTTTCACCACTTTATAAGGATTGAGCTGTACAAATGTAAGCAGTAAATTATAGTTTGATCCATGCATGCCAAAGCATCAAAATTTCAATAAGCTGTTGAATACATTTTGCAACTTCTTTTCAAGGTGATGAAATACAAAAATGGCAGGCATGTGATACATGCCCAATGTACCTTTTGTTTCATTGTAATACACTATAAAAGTAAATGTTTTTGCAATTATGTTAAATTGGTCAATAAATGTGCAGATTTTAGATCTATTGGCCATTGACTAATTTTTAGCTCACCTGCCCAAGGGCAGCTGAGCTTATGCCATGGCGCGGCGTCCGTCGTCCATCTGTCCGTGCATCTGGCGTCTGTCCGACGTCCGTCAACTTTCCTTTAAACGACTTATTCTGAAGAACCAGAAGGCATTGAGTCATGATATTTGGCTGGTAGCTTCCTTATATGGAGCCCGACAAAGTTTGCGAAAAAAACAGAATTTGACAACTTTCAAGGTCACAGGGGTCAAATATGTAAAAACCTTCAAACAACTTCTTCTGAAATACCGAAAGGTTTAGAGTCATGACAATTAGTTGGTAGCTTCCATGGAATAAGCCGAACAAAGTTTGTGTTTAGAAAATGGCCTTGACTTACTTTCAAGGTCACAGGAGTCAGATATGTCTAATGCTTAAAACGACTTCATCTGAAGAACTGAAAGTTAAAGAACCTAAATATTTGGCTGGTGACTTCCTGGGAGAAAGCCCGACAAAGTTTAAAATGAAGATGACCTTGACTTTCTCTCAAGGTCACAGGAGTTAGATATGTCTAATGTTTAAAACGATTTCATTATGAAGAACTGAAAGTTATAGAACCTAAATATTTGGCTGGTGACTTCCTGGGAGAAAGCCCGACAAAGTTTAAAATGAAGATGACCTTGACTTTCTCTCAAGGTCACAGGAGTTAGATATGTCTAATGTTTAAAACGATTTCATTATGAACAACTGAAAGTTATAGAACCTAAATATTTGGCTTGCGACTTCCTGGGAAAGAGCCCAACAAAGTTTGAGAGTGAAAATGACCTTGACCTACTTTTAAGGTCAAATGAGGCAGATATGTCAAACACTTCAAACGACTCCTTCTGAAGAACTGGAAGATATAGAACCTTCATATTTGGCTCGTAGCTTCCTGGGAAAGAGACCAACAAAGTTTGAGAATGAAAATGACCTTGACCTACTTTCAAGGTCAAAGGAGTCAGATATGTCTAACGCTTTGAACAACTTCTTCTGAAGAACTGAAAGGTATAGAATCTTTATATTTGGCTGGTAGCTTCCTTGGAGAGAGCCTGACAAAGTTTGAAAATGAAAATGACCTTGACTTTCTCTCAAGGTCACAGGAGTCAGATATGTCTAATGCTTAAAACGACTTCTTCTGAAGAACTGGAAGGTATAGAACCTTAATATTTGGCTTGAAGCTTCCTAGGAAAGAGCCCAACAAAGTTTGAGAATAAAAATGGCCTTGACCTACTTTCAAGGTCACAGGAGTCAGATATATTTAACACTTAGAACAACTTCTTCTGAAGAACTGGAAGGTATAGAACCTTAATATTTGGCTGGTTATTTCCTGGGAAAGAGCCAAACAATGTTTGCGAATGAAAATGACCTTGACTTACTTTCAAGGTCACAGCGTTCAAATATGTCAAACGGTTTAAACTAATTCTGATGAAGAATTAAAAGGCATGAATTTATGATATTTGGCTGGTGACTTCCTGGAATAGAGCTCACTAAAGTTTGCGAATGAAAATGACCTCAACCTACTTTAGAGGTCACAGAGGTCAACAACATTTTAAAGGATTTGTTCTTAAGAACTAAAGAAATGGATTAATTAGATTTGGCTGGTAGCTTTTTGGAATAGAGCTAACCAAATTGAGAAGAAAAATGACATTGACCTACTTAAAAGGTCACAGGAAAAAATATGTCAAGCAACTTCTGAAGAAGAATCAAAAAGCATAGAATCTTATAATAATATTTTGCTGGTAGTTTCAACAGATGGAGCTATGACTGATTAAATATTCAGGTGAGCAATACAGGCCCTCTTGGGCCCCTTGTTGATTTTAGTTTCGTAGTATTTTTCACGGAAATGTCACGAAAATTAGAATCCTGGAAAGAATTTAAAAAAAAAATCTTTAAGTTTATATATCATTAGGATGAGTAAAAGGGATTACACACAATTGATTTCGTTCTACAGATTGCTGTCAGTGGACAACATTTCACTGAGTTTCAGCACAGGATGCCAGTCCACCAGGTGAACACCATCAACATTAGTGGAGGGGTGACTGTGTTTTGTATCAGATATGATGCCCCAGGTCCGGTGAGTATGGGTACTTTGGGTCTCTAAATAAACCAGGGTTTAGGTTATGTGACAGCCATATTTATCTGGCCATTAGCCCATGCCTGGTAATATATATATAACCAACCATGTATATTGCATTTTAGTAAGTAGAATGCAAAGACCTGTGTCATGATCCTGTAATAGGCTCACCGCTATACATTGAGTCTGATATTATGTGTTAGCCCCGGGGCTTATTGCATGACAAATAAGGTATGTATATATGTATTACCCAAACCATTTCTTTGAGAATTTTGTTAAATTTTATGCTTGATAATCAGCAAAAAAGAATACCATAAGAGTTTATTTGTTTCTACATTTGTAGGCCCTGCCAGCTAGTTATCCTCAGAATTTCCCTTATGGACAACCCCCAATGATGCCACAGCCTCCTTTTGGGTTTGGACAGCCCCAAATGGCCCCTCATCCACATGTTGGGTTTCAACAGACTCAGAACAGCACCGAAATTTTGAACCCAGTAAGTCCCTTGATGTGAGAGCCTAGTATTGTCCAACAGGTGACTAAGATATGGTACACGTGCAATATGTGTATATACATGTATGTATGATGCATATGTGAGTACATACATAAAACAACATATTCACAATCTCTTAATTGACAATCTGTACATTTTTCGTGTTTACAAAATACATTCTGAGTGAGTAAAAAGGATATTCCTCCATGTATATTTTCCTAATATAAGTCAGGACTCCTAAATTTATACCTAATGTTTATATATATTCACTATGAAATTCATCCCCAATATATTTATGAGGCTGAAATTCATTTTTAGAAGATGTGTATAACGCCCAATTTCTTGAGAGATTAACTTCATAGTTTCAAATTTCATCAATGTATACCAATTCATGAATAAATTTATTTCATTTAATAATGGTTTGCACTTTAGCAATGAAATACATAAATTTTGTACAAGGCTGCAGGTTGATTTTGAATGATTTATATTTTCAATCTGTTTGCATAAAGTGGACAATTAAAAAAGTGTAATATGAAAATTATAGAATTCGATTATTTACAATCAACAAAAAAGTCATTTCTGCCTTGTAAAGTGCACCCAACACGTATTTCATAATATCTGCAAACTGAAACACTCAACAAAAATAAGCAACTAAACATCCTCCATTTTAAAATAAGTGCATCAATGACTATTCAATGTGTTTTAGTCGGTTCCCTATATGGGTGATATTCACGGAGGTTTGGCTGCAGGCAAATCCATTGACATCCAAGGGTCACTGCCCCTAACACAGGAAACGTAAGTCTTTGTACTTGTGTTGTCAAAATGCTTTATAAATGGATAAACCTATTTTTATATTTTTCTCGAAATATTGTGTCCTATTTTGCTTTCAAACTGTGATATAAAATAATGATTAATTTGTCTACCACATTGATCTACACCACACTAATTGTAGCCATCCTAAACTACTCCATAATCGTTGCTATCCCAAGATGTTCAATAGTCATTGTCACCCATAGATACTCAATATTCCTCATCATCCCAGGATTCTTTATACTCACTTTCTCCCACCTTTCACATTTGTGTCAAACTTGTTCTAGTCATTAAATATCAGTTTATCGCTCCTAGGGAAATGTATCTCTGTCTAACCTTAGGGTCAAGACATGGGTATTCCCTATCATATAGTTGTACGATGTCGCATCAACAATGCATTGATGTTACATCAACAATAGAAGATCTTGGAAGTTAAATATGTATTACTCAATAATCATTGACTCCGGATCCCCCAGGTACATGTTAGTAATTGTCATCCCAAGATACTATACTTAATACTCATTGTGTCCTAAATCAACATTTTGACAAGTTATGAATGGTTCCAAACTCAAAAGCCTCGTGGAAGAGAGTGTACTGAAAAGTTTATAGTCCTGACATCACTCCTAAGCTCAATCATAAGCCAACTCTGTGTATTAATGGGTGGATATCAGGTTTTTATTCTCATTTAAATATACAATTAACGTACATGTAAACTTGGAAAAAGTACCATGTGCTTTCTCTTTCATTCAAGGTTTGTCATAAATCTACAATGTGGCCGACAGGCATACCCACAGCTGGAGGTAGCTCTCCACTTCAACCCACGGTTTGACCAAGGCTGTGTGGTACGCAACAGCCATGAGGGCGGTTCCTGGAAGAAAGAGGAGAGGTTTGGGGTTTTCCCTTTTCATCCTGGACAACCCTTCAGTGTGAAGATCGTTGTGGAGGTGAACCAGTATCAGGTAGAGTTTACTGGAAAATTAGGGGGTTTTCAGTTTATGATGTGACATCACACAGTGAGTGGAAATTATGATGCACTAACAGCTTTTGGTGAAACACATTTCACCCTGGTAAAATACTAGTCGCTTCCTACCGACTAGGCAAGGGAGAATTTCTCTTTAGCTCATTCAGTTGAGCGTAAGACTAGTAAACCAGAGGTGCCAGGTTCGACTCCTGTTAGCTCAGCTACAACACATTGCCTGTGAGGTTGTTCCATATAGTGTGTCAGCACATCCATCACCATCTTTTACATGTAAAAACAACTTCTGCTAAAGAAACGTAAGGCCAAGAGTTAGGATATTTACCATGTTGCCTGTTGAAGTGCAATCAAATTATTATTAGTTCAAATTAATTTTCTTGGTTTGAAGACAAGGTCAAAGAGAGCAAATGTATTAGAATAATAAACATAAGCTCTTCTGATGAACCAGGAGGCTTAGAGTAATGATATTTGGCCCATAATTTGCTTTAGAGAAGGGCTCTATTGTTTGTTCTTGATGAAATAAAGTAATCATAGGAACCTTGACCCACATTGAAGGTTACAGAGGTCAAAATATTTTGAAGTTTATAAACAACCTATGATAAACAATTAACCTAAAGTACTATTTGCTTAGCTTATTTCTAGCTTACTTGGTGACAGGCTATCTGATTTAGAGATTGTTGAATATAACAGTAGTAAATATCATCTTCAAGAATTTCATTTTTGTTCCCAATCAGATCCATGTGAATGGGCAGCTCTTCACAGGGTTTCAGCATAGGATTCCTTTCCATCGAGTCAACACTCTCAGCATTTCAGGAGGCATAACAATCTCCAGTGTGCGGATTAGCAGTTCAAGCATGGTGAGTTATTTTTCCTTTGACTTTTCTTCACAAATACTTACAAAAAACTGTTCCTCATCTGCTCTTTACCTAGTCATATTTTATACACACATCAATATGTCTTGTTATATGGAAAAAAAGATGCTTCTCAAATATATTAAGTCTGTTTAAAAAATAATGAAATATCACTTTCCCGGGACTACTACAGTTACCGGTTGCTTTTGAATGGACTGCATTATTGTTTCGTTTTTGGGATCAAGTTTCTGTGCCAACATCTTTGAATAACCCTGAGGGTAGAAATTTGTTGTATAGATTGCTCGACCAAACTAGACTGTATGCTTATAAACCATAACAGAGACATCAAGGTGGACATATGTGTAATTGTCTTTGTACTGTGTTATCTTCTCGCACCTCTGAAATAATTTGAAACATGGCAAATTAAATTAGGGAAGGCATGGGCCATGGATGATATTTATTTTTAATTATCTAATACTGTCAATTCTTTCATGGACAGCACAATTCTGATAGAAAGAATGAAATCAATAATAGATACAATAATTTTTGGATTTTAAAATATAAAAACAAATTTCACAAACTTTTGTCAGGGAATACAGTTCTTATTCTGTAGATTTTCAAGAATGTTTAGAAAGACAGTTTGTTTCATTATGCATAATGTGGAAATCAAATTGATAGAGAGATATAACTATGAGTCAATGGAAGGGCACATAACAATGCCCTAGCAATAGATGACATTGCAAAATGTTGATTGTGGAAAGGGTAACAGTGCAAAATGTTGACTGTGCAAAGGGTAACAGTGCAAACTGTTGACTGTGCAAACAAGATGGTCATACAGTAACTGTCAGCTGCCATGTTATTTTTTCATCATGCTTTTCTAGAATGACATTCATTTTCAGTCATGATGTTGAAGTTTGAATTGCTGTCATTATTGCTAAATTTGATATAATTTCTAAATTTGTTACCCATTTGAAACCTGTGATGTTGATTTTTAGCTCAACGGTCCGAACGGCTAGTGAGCTTATATCATGGTGCGGCGTCTGTTGTCCGTCCGAAAGGTTTCCGTAGCATATTTCCCGTGCTGTTTCACCTACGGTTATGAATCTTGGTTTGTGGGTACATGCATAAAGGTGGTGTGTCCCAAACCATATGTAGGTCACTGTGACCTCTACCGTGACCTCTGACCTATATACATGTAATATCGTCAGAAAGGTTACCGGATCAAATATCTCCCGTGCTATTTCACCTACGGTTATGAATCTTGGTTTGTGGGTACATGCATGGAAGGCGTTGTGTCACATACCATATGTAGGTCACTGTGACCTCTACCGTGACCTCTGACCTACATAGTGTTGTCGGAAAGGTTTCCGGACATATCTCCCATACTATTTCACCTACGGTCATGAATCTTGGTTTGTGGGTACATGCATGGAAGGTGGTGTGTTGCTTACCATATGTAGGTCACTGTGACCTCTACCGTTACTACGTTATCATGTATCAAACTACCTTCAGTACAAATACTTGCAGCATATAATCTTTTCATTTGATATAAAAATGACTGATGTACTTGTATCTAGAAAAACCATCTCTAAGTTGCTTCTGTTGTATAGGTTATCGTTACATGTACAGTGGCTTATAATATACCTTAGCTGAAGTTGGTCAAGAACATTATGTTTTCTCCATTCACCACATTCCAGGAATAATTCTCATCTTTACTTGTATTACATAAATGATATCTGTTTAGTTTTACTCTATTGTATTTTTCCTAATTTAACCTGTAGGCTACACAAAGCTCAACCTCACTTTCTCAGGTAAATCAGTTGCCATATATTGTATCCATTCTAATGACTATTGAAACCTTGTTATACTGCCACCTGTATAATGTCACCATATTTTGAGTAGACATGAAAAAGAAATGGGTTAATTAAAAGAAAGGCTTAGGGAGCCTTCATTGATATATAATGGCAGTAAGTGAGGGGCATAGGGCTATTTCTGGGTAAATTGGGAATAGATTTCCAACATCTATTTGGAAACATTATGAACACATCATCTGTCATTTGGACAAAATCATTCAATATAGCGGCTTGACTTGTGTCCAAACAACACACAACACTTGTTTGTGATGTTTTGCTCCTTATTCGATATTCATAGAGCCAGTTGTATGTCTTTCCTGAGATCATTTCTTTAAAAATATTAGCTGAACGATTAAAACATTCATATTTATCAAATATTATTTCAATTTTTGTCCCAAAATAATCCCACAAAAAGCCCAAGGGCAGTATACCTGGGTTGTACCAGAGACGTATAAATGTGTTATATACGTCTCTGGTTGTACTGAAACTAATTATTTGTATATCAAATTTCCACAATGAGGAGATGAGGCGTTTTTTTTCAGACCTAAGAAGCAGTATGTAATGTAATCTGAAAAATTCATTAAGCACTCTCATAATCTTTCCACTTTTTTGAATGAATCAATTTTATCTAGACCTTTTGAGCATTGTGGAGATTTGAATCATCTATCTAACTTACTGAAAGCATTCTTGTTGTCAAGCTTGAACTCCCTCTATTTTGCCTCATTTTACCTGCAGGAAACCAGATCTATTGGCAACTATGTGTCAGTTCATCAGGTAACTACGTTCCATTCATTGACTGAAACACTCCTCTTTAAGGATGTACTCTTCTGAGGTTTCAGTCACGTTCAAGTCTCGTTTTGATCTGGTGTAACGGGTTTTTGTAATATTTATCAAATTATGATAGGTTTAATAGCAAACACACATCTGAAAAACATTTTAAAAAACTAGATGTCTGTTGTGTGTAGATTTTTTTTTACAAGAATTTGAAAAAAATGACCAATTTGGCGGCCATTTTGAAAAAGTGTATTTATGTGAATTTCTTGCGCTTCAGAAAGGGCAAAATTTCACCTTTTTTGACACTAGATTAATCACTTAAATTGTCATTGTGTCACCATTTTAAAATGTAGCAGGTTCAATTTTGCTGTACAACTTTATAATGTTCAATATGATTAAAATAATATGCAAAAAAAAGGAAAGTTATATATTATTGGTATTTTGTTTTTACATATTAGGGTAACTGAAGCACTTTTGATTTTTGACCCCGAAAAAGGTGAAAAATAACAAATAATAATGGGACAAAAAAAGAAGCACACCGACCCCCCATTTTTGTGGCTGTTTTAGAAAGAGAAACACATTTTCTTTTGATTCATTGAATACCAAAAAAAGTTTAATACAGGTTTTTTTTTATATCAAGCGTTTAATCTGCAAAAAATGGTGAAAAAATGTGCATTTTTTCATTAAAAAATAAGGGGTAGGGGTAACTAAAATCGCATTTCTGAGCAAAATGAATAAGATTAAGAAATTTTATTTATATAATTTAAAAGAAAATAATATTTTTATCAATTCTACAAACATTCATACATATCTGATAACACACTTGGAAGAAATTGTATGAATTTGTTCTGCAAATGGTCAAAACCCGAAAATTCACCTAAAATCACCTATTGTGTTAAAGGGACATCACGTCAAAAGGCGTTTTTTTTTAATGAATGTATGTATTGTATGCACTTCTACTTATGTTACCACGCTATCCCCATATTCATAGTCCGTTCCAAATGTCCAGTTTGACCACTTGAATTGTTCAGGAAAGCCCTGCTATAAATAGCGCCATTAACGTCACCTGACTAGGCAGTAAACACAAGTGGTGCGAGCGAGATGAAACGGTTTCAAAAGAGGCCCCCAGAGAGGGGCCGTCAGGCAATGCAACTTCTTGCCGCACTATGAAACCAAGTTATATGATTTCTAAGTCCGTATTCAAACTTATTGAACAGTAATTATTCATCATTAGAAGTTAATTGCACACTTGCCAATATTCAGAATTTAAATTTATTTAGCTTTAAACATAAATGTGTTGCCAATAAAATTAAACAAGGGATGGGGCACAAGTTTTTACAATTTATCTCAGCCTTCTCCCGTCATACATTTACAATTAAATGTATACAATGATAATAGGCATAAACATAAAGTAGATATATTTAAATATATATTGAATTTAGTACCGAAATGTGACCGGTACAGATGGTACGTGGCTAAACACCTTCCCTACACCAAGGGACAAACCTTTCTGATTTTTTTTTATATGTTGCCGGGGCAGAGGCCGGGTATTCATATTAGTACTAATTTAAATCTTGCATGTAAAAACAAAAATAATCGTTTAATTCAGCAATATAATTAAATCATACCATATTATTGAACCCGGTAATATTATAAATTATGTAAATCCACGGACTTCGATAACACGTATCTTGGTGACCCAGAAAATATGCCGTGGGCCATCACAACAGTTATCCCTTGGAGGGCCTCATGGAAAAATCAAACTAACCAGTCTCTTATCCCTTCCTTTCAGATAAACCACTGTATAATTATAAAAACACAAAGTAAACTCTCTCCAATACATGCCCATTAACAAATTAAACTAAGTGCATCTGTGTTCAAACTCAGACAAAGATACTAGCGAGCTTAATAGTTTTAGATATTTATTCATAACATAAACAGCGCTAGCATTTCTGTCGATTCCATTTCAGCTTAACCGGCTATCCGGAAGAATACATGCACCGTACTAATTGCTACGGCAGTTATTTTCTCCTTTGAATACTGCCCACCTGCAATAATGATTCCGTAACGTACTCCTTGTGCTATCTTTTTACCATTTGGCAACTTTTCGTTTCGTAGCTGACACGGTACAACACTTTTCTTTCGCTTACTTCACACGGCCAGTCATTTTGTTTACAAAGAAATGGTGTGCTATGTGCATGCACTAGTAGAGGGAAATCCCTGAACAAAACGTTGGTCAGACAGGTAGAAATACTGATGATTTTCTTAGATTTAATCATTTTTATGAATCTATTTCAGCCAAATCCGATCGTTATTTTCCATAAGGAGTCTCACTTGATATGTTTATGTAGTATTTTAAAAAAAGACAAAAAATAAAGTTACTTCACCGTTATGCCCCTTTAAATTGGTATCTTTGACCGATCATACTACAAAAACGAACACACGGACATATATATTTTTTTGCATTTTCTACTATGCCATTATCTCCTTTTTCCAAAAATCAATATAAGAAAAAAAGTTTATTACAGGAATTATTTGACTTCTCAGAGGTGTACATCCTTAAGCCAAAAATCCTGGAAAATGGTTTACAAGTTTTCTTAATTTTCAGATTTAATTAAGTAATGCTATCACCTTTTGTCCATTGCCTTCTGCTTTATGTCATACCTCATTTTACAAATGTCTATTTCACCTTATGCCATACTGCAGCGTCCATCGTCCGTCGGTCCGTCCGTCCGTCAACTTTTCCTTTCAAACGCTACTAGTCCTGAACGGCCAAGTAGATTTCGACTATATTTGGTCTGGAGCATCCTTAGGCCAAGGGGACTCAATTTTGTATAAATGGTGGGTGTGGCCCCCCTGGGGGCAGAGGGGCGGGGCTCAATAGGGGAAATAGAGGTAAAACCTTCAAACTCCTTCTTCTACCGTAGGGATTAAGGAATTTTATCCTTATTAAGTCTAGAGCATCCTTGGGCCAAGGGGACTCAGTTTTGTATAAACCGTGGGTTTTGCCCCCCAAGGGCCTGAGGGGCGGGGCCCAATAGGGGAACATAGCAAATTATTCTTTAAAATCCTTCTACTTCTGTAAGATTGACAGGATTTGGTCCATATTTGGTGTTGAGCATCCTTGGGTTAAGGGAAACCAATTTTGTATAAACGGTGGGTCTGGCCCTCTTGGGGGCTGAGGGACAAGGCCCAATATGGGAAATATAGCAAATTCTTAAAAATCCTTCTTCTGTAGGAATGACAGGATTTATTCCATNCCCCCGGGACCTGAGGGGCTGTGGACCCTATAGGGGAAATAGAGGTAAAACCTTTAAAATCCTTCTTCTACCATAGGGATTAAGCGATTTTATCCTAATTCAGTCTGGAGCATCCTTGGGCCAAGGGGACTCAATTTTGTATAAGCAGTGGGTGCATAGTGGTCTCCCAGGGGGCAGAAGGGTGGGGTCCAATAGGAGAAATAGAGGTAAAACCTTTAAAATCCTTCTTCGACCATCATGATTAAGGGATTTTATTCTTATTTAGTCTGGTCATCCTTTGGCCAAGGGGACTCAATTTTGTATAAACGGTGGGTATGACCCCCCCCCCTAGGGGCATAGGGGTTGGGCTCTGTTTGAAATTTGTTATAATCTCAAGTACTGGATGGATCTTTCTGAAATTTCCTATGTACTTACAGCACCTACCATGGAGTGCTATATCTTTACTTCATACCAATTATTTTAAATATATTCAGGTGAGCGATACAGGCCCTCTAGGCATTACCTCGACTGATGAGGTGTATATATTTGTATTAGATGTAGATGCACTGATGGTTACGTAAAGGATCATACCACTGCCAAAAATACCATCATGACTATATAGCTTTGATGAATCATTTCGGGAAAGCGAACCATATATACTTTGAGGGACTTTTATGAATAATCACAAAGATGAAATAAATAAATATAATCAACAACAGTGTTCTGAATGTAAAAAAAGTATCAGCAGGGCTGGACCGAGATTGGAACCCAGGACTACAGATTGTTATACTATTGCTGTAGCTGATTGGGCTACCTGTAAGTGGAAGTGTGGCGCAAGCCCAAAATTAAACAGTTATATCGTAACAGAAGCTAAGGGGAAGCTACTATATATACAAAATGGCAGTGCAGTCAGACTGATATCCTTAAGTAGTCACACTTTTATTCCTTCGTCATTTCAGCACTGATCGATATTTGCATGGACAGCATCATTATATATTACATTGTATTAACATTTAATGTAATTTTGGTTCTCTGAAAGTATTAATACAGAGTTAGGGCCATTTTGGAGCTGATATTTAGCACCTTTCTCAATGGAAAATAGTCTTATTGAAATTGAAAGTTATTTTTAAGAAAAATATAAGCTTGTAGATGGCAATGCAATTAATGCTAACATCAAAAATGATCATTTTGCACAGATAAGGGCATGTTTCTCTTTAAATGTTTTTCTTTGTAGCACTAACAGAATCTTAACAACTATGCATACTCAAATCTAGTGAACTAACCTAGTACGTGTTGATTTATTACTACCTTATTCACTGTAATTAGCACCTTTTCTCTTTTTGGGCACTTCATTAATTGATGTAAGCTCCCCTTTCCTGATCGTTCTCCATGCTGACCCTCTCCTGACAACAAAATACAGTATTATTATAAAGTCACCTAATATATTGACAGGTTGTTCCTGGTGTTTTTGAGAAAAGAATAAGAGAACAGTTTTGAAATTTTCCTGGGAATGTGTCCAACAATTACATCATTACATCAACTGCCACACTCTGTGTTTGTTATCTCAATAAAATTCATGTCCTTTTCAGACATTTTTTCATGTGCCCTGGGTGCTAATTATGGTGACCATGGTACATTGTACATTGCATTGCTGTATTGAACTGCTGTTAAGCTATTAATGATCACGAGAAGAACTAATGCTTTTAGAGTACATATAGCCTTTTTATAGTTCGCTTTTAGTTATTCATTAAGCAATTTAAAAAAAAACACTTTAAAAGTTATAAGTTACACTTATTTTAGTTAGAAATCAAAAGAAACATGTTTTAGATGCAAGTTTGTACTTTTATTTGAAAGAGTTTTCAGTTTGCAATTAAAACAAATATAGACTAATCACTAATTAACTAATGACTTGTTGAAAGTGGATTGAGCTCTCTGACTAAATACTTACATTTATGTGTAAAAACTGACTTTACTTCAATCTGCTTTTACCCAATGTTGAATGACCTCAGATCAGTCTTTTCTGGAACATGGAGGTTTTACACAAACTGTTGTAGTCTTTTTCCTCATTCCATAGTTAGGGATCCCTGTCCAACAGCAATGTTTTTTTTTCTATATTCGACAACCTCTCCTTAAACTTCCATTTGATAATCTATCTTTGTTTATTTTTAATACCGAAGTTTGTCCACAGCATAACTTCCATGTTATTTGACCTACGTTGACCAAACTTGCTATAGTTTTAATGTATCTTGAGAAGTACGAGTGTCGCATTCTAAATTCGGGTTTCGTGCCCCACTTTATAAAGAGACATGGCCTTTTGTTCATTTTTGATACCGAAGTTTGTCTTTTGGCTAATAAGGGGAGACATATGTTTTTGTTCACAAAAACAAAATTCTAGTTTATGTTTGACCAGTCCAAAAATTTTGAACCTGATTCATCCATCATTCTCTTTCAACCAGATTGGGAATCTGTCCAACAGATCGATACTGTAAGACAATGTGGACAGAACTTGTTTTTATGAAAATTGAAAATTAATGTGCTCTAATCATCTGATTAATATATATATGAGCTTTTTTATTTTCAAAGCCAATGAGTGCAGCAGGATCAGGATTTGGAACAGGAATGGCGTACCCTTCATCAGGAGTAGTGGCACCTATGCAGCCTATGTACAACCCAGTAAGTCATAAAAACCACACAAAGTGATAGATGGCCGGTCCCAAATATGTCTATCAAGTGTCTTTTGAAAACTGCCCTATTGGGAATACAGTTTGACTTCTTTATCTGGAACTCTTATCACTTGAGGTGCCCGTGTAATGCCAAGTACATCTTCAGTCGCAGCCAAACCTCTTCCATGTGTGTTTAGTGTAAAATCACATAGGGAATATGATAATGAAGGAATTTCTTTTTATTTTACAGTGAATGTTTTTTTTTTTTTTAATTGACTTTTCATAGACATTGACTGTCAGAAAAAATCAACAACTAATATAGTCTCATTGTTGATTAACCATTATAACAAACTTAATACCAAACATGGAAAATCACTTGAATACTCGGATAACTCCAGTTTTCCAGCGATCCGTTGACTGAAGGAAAATAAAAAATGAAATAACGAGGTTAAATTTATTCTAATTTCTTTCCATTTTTACAAAATTTCAATTGCTTGCTTTTACTAATGAAACTCAAACCTTCCAATAATGTTGAATTATGATAAAAACAGTTGATAATACAGATAATTATGTACTCTGACAATATAAGTACTGTACCTGATTGAAGTACTTATAGTCATAATATTGATCCCTACTGTTTTTTGGGTTTTTTTTTTACAAAACATTTTTTCAACTACAAAACCTACAAGAGCATACAACTTTGGGCTTGATTTTCATATATTTATACAGCTTTATTAATTTGGCTTTTTATCCTGATTAGGAAAATTATTTAGACCATACTCTTCTTCTCACATTTTCCCTCTATTGAGGATTGCATGCAAGTGCAGCTTTCATAAGAGTTTGAGCATGTCCTATATACTGAAGGCTATAAGTAACAATGAGTGTGACTCATGTTAAATTACACATACCATTGTATCACTATGTAGCATGATGTGAGTCATTGTTTATCGTTGATGGAGATGACACTTTAGAAGATAAAGGCCATTATAAAGTTGTGAATAAATATTGTGTTGTAACACTGTTTTGTAAAATTTTATCTCAATAACATCTGGTATGTTCTTTTCTAAACTCTCTTAATTCTTTCTAAATACACTCGGTCACTGTTTTTTTGTTTTTTACTGAGGCTGCAGAATGTTGTAGAACATTAATTGTAACATCAGAATGTATTGTAATTTTTTGTCATGATTATTTTGAGAGCTATCTCCCCTCTTACAGTTGGCTAAAAAGTTAAAATATCAATTAACACAGCAATTATTTCTTTGTTTCATCTGAGATTCAGAATATAATTGTAAGAAATACTATTTAGTTATTTGGACCATATGATAGTTTAATGGACTGGTCAGTTTCTTTATTTGCAAAATATATTCCATTATGATTTTTTTGAGTGACTTACAGTCCTTAAAGCTTGCACGTGGATTTGGTATCAAGTACGTATTACATACACTAGCTGTCAAACATTTATATGCACTGATCGCAAACTATTAAAAAGTTTATGCTGGGGTGGTACAATGTATACAGTACATTTGATCAAAACAAAAATGACTTAACTGTGCATGATACCTGTAGAATTAGTAGGACAATGCGTTATGCCGATCTTAATAGATGGACTATATTTTCACAGCCTGTGCCATTTGTATCTGGGATCCCAGGCGGCGCTCTTCCAGGAAAGATGATCTATGTTATGGGTAATCTTGGCTCAATGCCAAGCAGGTGAGCAGACTACAATATAGCCTGTCCTAGAAATAGTTGGTCTGTCCTACATAAAATTAAAATGCACTATGCTAATTCTGAGCTTCGCTCAAGTTGAAAAATTGATGTATAAGAGTCACACTGAGAAGTAGCCAAAGAGAAGGTAGGTAACATGGTTATCTAAAAATAATTCAGGGACTAATTAAGGAACTTAATTATTGAGTCATAATTTTGAAATGGTTGAGATCCCCACCCCATGACCATTTAAATCATTGCTGGGCATTAACAAATGGGCACAATAATGCTATAAGAGTTGACTCTGGGGATTGCCCCGCCCTTTGGGACTTCATTCTTGTGTCATAACTTTGAAATGGTTGGGATCCTCACCCTTTGATTATTTATACCATTGCTGGGCATCAAAAGATGAAAACAATAATGCTATTAGTATTGACACTGAAGTCACCCAACCCCTAGGGACTTACTATCTGGGTGTTAACTTTGGAACAGTTGAGATCCCAACCCAATAACCATATATATATTTAATAGGTATAAAGAGATAAAAACAGTCATGCTATTAAAATTGACTCTGGAGTCTGACCCCACCCCTAGGGACTCAATTTCTGGTCCATAACTTTGGAATGGTTGAAAAGCCATATACATGTTTATATCATTGCTGTGCATAAAAATCCTGGTAAGCGATAAAAGCCCTCTGAGCCTCCTATATCATATATGAAGTAGTATTATAACATTTGATACACTTCAAAATCCTGCCCAACAGGCTGTTACTCACAGATTATTTGTATAACTGACATATTTTACCTTGTACAGGTTTAATGTGAACCTTCAGGAAGGAACTCTGGACTCCAGTGACGTTGCTTTCCACATGGATGTGAGATTCCGCTTCGGGAATGACGTGAATGTCGTAGTGCGGAACCACAAATCTCGAGGGACTTGGGGATCAGAAGAGAGGGGCATTCCATTCTTCCCCTTCAGTGTTGGAGGTGCATTTGACATGATCATCCTGATAGAACCTACCTGTATAAAGGTACATTGTACTTGTAATCACTTGTACACCATGCATTAAACCATAGGTGTCAACCTCTGAAACTTCCAATAAGGGAGAAAGGGTGTGAAACACGACAGGAACTGCTATGCTTATTTCATTTTTCCCTATTTATGTATCAAAATAACTCCAAAAAAACATTCACCTGTTATGATCATTACACACACCATGCAGTAACTAGGAGGCCATTTGACCACAGGATGTAGATTTTGAGTTTGTGTGAGTTTGGACATAAATGAGGGAGTTTCGAGGGAGATTGGTGTATTTTGGTCAAAATGAGCAAGTCTTCCACTAAATGATGGAGTTTTGACAGCTATGTTAGACAGACAGTTGTTTATCCATGTAATGATTGGGGTTAGACCAACATATTGCTACTGATGATAAATCATTGTAGTATTTTACCTAATAAGGAACATGGCTTTTTCAAACATATTGTATTTCATGAATTATCTGAACTATTGTAATTGGACAGCATCCATTTCCAACTATCTACCGTCAACTTTTTCCTTAATGTAACTTTTTAAGATCCATTGATATTCAGCCTGTAACTTATTGTGCTGTGCTCACAGTGTACTTAGTGTAATTTTGTTCAAAAGAATTTCCTTGACCCACTTTTAGTGTTCAAGGGGTCAAATGTGTTAAAACGTTAAAGGATTTATAAACATGAATCAGTCCTATAAAATTATCAGCCAATATCTTGCTCGGATAAAAGGCAACCAAATGTGTTCTAATCAATTTCCTTGACCCACAAAGGTCAAAGGTGTAAATATTTTCAAAAGACTTCTAACAAACCATAAGGCCGAGTAATGATATTTGTTTTGTAGCTTATTTGCTTGGGTATAGGGTTGTCAAATCGTTTTAATAAGTTACCTTGTCCCAATTGCAAAGTGTTACTTATAGTCATGGATGAAATGTCTTTATGTGTTACAATATTCAAGCAATGTTTAAAAGACCATGAGATATAGAGTCATTCAAAGATATTATGCTGTAGCTTGCTTGAGTGATGAGTTCTTATAATTGCAAAAGAAATAACCTTAACCCTCATTCAGGATCACAAAGGTTAGATATGTTAAAAGTCACCAAATGTCTCCTTTAAGTGAACCAGGAGGCCTAGAGTCATGATATTTTTCAAGAAGCTTGCAGGAGTGAATGGGTTTCAACTTGTTCATATAAGTTATGGGATACATTTGTTAAAATCTTTAAACATTTTTTTTATGAAACCACGAAGAATAAGAAGAGTAATGGTATTTGGTGTCCATTTTGCTGTGATGTCGGGTTTTATTATGACCTTGACCTAAATTTCTACCAACTCCTGTTCATTTTTCAGGAGAATGATACAGGCCTAGGTCCTATGAGCATTTTGTTGCTTAATTCATTCACTCCTGAAATGTCATTATGAAGTATTCCAACCTTTGAATTAGATAGATTTCACTCAAATTTTAACATTATCTTGGTGCACAATTTGTGCATTAAATTGATCCTCAGTAAGTGATTGTGTTTGTTGTGCTATTGCAGGTTGCCATCAACAACAAACACTTCCTGGAGTTTCAGCACCGCCTTCACCCTCCCGCACGCTACAGTACGCTGAAGATTGACGGCGACATCAGGCTGACACAAGTGAGGTTCCAGTGAGGAAAGCAGATCTTTCCTTCATTTCCACGTTAATGATTAGTGACTAACAGTTCATGTGCCTGGCAACATAGGACATTCATATTCAAACTTAAGAGTAGTTTAAACTCATTACATGGTCATTAATATCATATGCAGTCTTTTCCAAAATTGCATTTTAAAAATTTTGATATTAAACTAATCTTGCTATAAAATTAGGACATTCATCATTAAACTTAGAGAAAGTGTTTTTTTCAAGGTCATTAACACTATTTGNTCTAATAGGCCGATCTCACTTAAAATTGGTCTAGGAATGATCAGCTCATGGTCCTGACAAAGTTAAGTTAACATTATACTATTTTTTACTCAAATTGGTACATATTTCAACAACAAAAATAAATACTATAGACTCAGGTGACCGTTAAGGCCCATGGGCCTCTTGTTGCTTTTTAAATTTCTTTTTCAAAATTAGGTTTTTAACTTATCTTGCTGTTGGATTTTTTACATATAGTAAACATGAGGCATCTCCATCATTGAAATACATAGACCCTGTAAAATAGAATTCAGTTACTGTAATTGGACTACTGTAAAAAGTAATATTATAGCATGGACTTGATCAGTTTGCTGAGTGAAGTTTGCTAACCCATACACAGGTATGCTGGCCATGTGACCAGATGATATTTGAATTGAGCCCTCTGTGTTATATTCAAAATTTTCCATGAGTCTTGATCTTGAGCCTTGCAGGAGCTGATATTGTCCGCTCATCAGATACCTGGCGAACGCAAAAAGAGCTGGTCTTTTTTAGCCTTTCATGACCAAACATCACTTTCTATAATGACATTTTAAGATGATTTGTGCTGTTGGTACATTTATGCCGGATTCTCATCAACGAAACAAACAAAAGAAATAGATCTATAAACCTATTTACGAATTCATTTCGGTGATTTTGAAATTTGAAATATGTTTTATAGAGATGTCATGACTATAATATAAGGGAATCGTGTCATATATCTGTTTAGATATTTCTATCGTTAAGAGCATATGATGTTTGTGTTTCAGCATTTTAGTTGGACCTGTCTTAAAATGTTTGTATTTTTTAGATGTTACCGGCTTAAAACTCTAAGCAATTTATCTAGATAATAAGATTTTGAAAGTATAATCATAGGAGTAAATAATCAAGACAGCAAGGTTTCATTTCCTGATGGGACATCAGAAGGTATGGGGTCACCTGACTGACAACATCAGTTTTTCTCCAGAACTCCGGTTTCTTCCCTCATTAAGACCTCTTGTGCGCTACCGTCCAGGCTAACAAGAGTTACTAATATTAGTTGATAGAACTTGATGTAAAATAAATTTGAAAGCAAATTCCTCTATTTTTAATAAAAGACTAAAGGAAACTATCCGTATTTTCCACTTAACATTGAACCAAATGTATATATTTGTTAATTGTTATCACTTCCTGTATGTTAATGTATTAATATTTTTGTTTATGAATTAAGAGATTTCTTAGATCAAGAAATATTTGTATTTGTTAATGGTTGATGTAAATTATTGATCCTACTTGATTTTTCTTTTAGTCAGTGCCTGAAGGTCAAAGGGTTTAAAGATCAAAAGTTGTGCCATATTCTTTTGCCGTCAGTCACAGTCTGGGGCACAGTTACTTGTAAAGTAATGAATTGTGCCATATCGCGTAAAATATCTCTACGATTATAACATAACGCACACTTACATATGCCAGGCAGCATTGGAAATCACGTATGACTGTAATGTCCTGTGTATAGTGCTTCATGTTTTAGGGGAAGCATGAGTGTTATCACAGGGAATCAAATTGTTCCAGTGTTGCATTATGGGTTGAACTATCACAGTGTTGCATTATGGGTAAGATTTTTGAATTTCTACATGTGAAGCCAAATTAGGGGCAGTATTACAAGAGGAAACAAACTGTCTGAGTGGTGTATTAGAGGCCAAATGATCAAGTGTTTCAGGAGTTGTCAAACTGTTGCAATCTTGCATGAAGGGTCAAACTGCTTATCTACGTCTGTTACTGTTCTGTCAACCTGTTGCGGTCACATTGCATTACGGATTAAAATCTGGGTTAGACTGTCACAGTGTTGCTGAGAGGTCAGAATATTGCAGTGTTGCATCTGGACAAAAAAGCAGTTATTATTTTGCTTTGGTTTAGATTGATGTATTTTTTTGAATTTTTGGCATGTAGCTTGCACTGTTAACACATTTGTGAAAAAATTGTAGGTTGTGCTTTACTGCATATATATATAATCTATAGAAAAAAAAATCTTCTTGTCATAAAAACACTGATGGGTACATGTCGTAGTATATATTTATCATTTATATGGATGGCATATCAGTTTAATATTTGTATTGTGGGTTTGGTGTTTTGTTCTGTAAGTGGAGGTGGAGGTGAAAAGTTCAAGTGCTTATCTGAAGTGCATTTTGTTACGTAGGGTTTCCTTGATTTCTCATGTAATTAGTAAATAATTGATACAATTTTATAAACATGTAGTAGATAATCAATCTCTTACAATTGTGCCATAATTGAAAAAAGGAAACACCCTCTTGTGCTAGACGACTGTACTATTTGAATGTCATATGTGTATGTAGGAAATACTTTGGTAAGAGGATTTCTGAAATTTCTCAAACTTGTTGTTCATTTTGTTGAAAATACACAATGTTCCCACCAGGTGGTTTTAGTATTTTTTTCAGCTTTTTAAAATTTAGTTTTAGGTTTTGGGTTATTTGTGCAATGTTATTTAGATTGAATTGTTAACATTGGTATAATAGCTACATATTATATGTAGTTAGGCTCCAGAGAAAAAAGAGGGGGAGGAATGGAATTACATAAAATCGTGTGGTACCGCACCGCCACCTCCCCCCACCTCCGACCCCTACCCCCATTCATATTAAGTTCTGAAATAGCCATTATCAATATATGATGTTAATAGAGCTTGAAGGTTATTCATCACTATTGCTAGCTTTTGGACCCTAAAGTTTTGTATGTATGTTTGTTTTATAATTACTTACCCATTGTTTTTGTTTTTCTCATGCTATAATAATTGTCTCCACATTGGATAGATTTAAAATTAAGAGGGTTGTAATAATATTGTAATGAAATTACTAAACAGTAATTGTATCATTATCAATCTGAATTATATACTTAACAAATTAAATAGCATGTTGTATTCAATGTAACTAGTGTAGGAATAACTAACCCAACGGGAAACCAGATTCTATATCCCATAGGAGCATAATAGAGTAAAACCTGGTTTATCAAGCCCACCCAAAGGGGAAGATAAGAATGGTCTTAATAGGCAGGTGATCTTTATTGACAGGTTGCTAATATTGAGATAGAATCCATTGGTGAATTTGTGATACCATCAGGAATAAGAAGTGTTATTATCCATTGTCATGTGTATGAGGTGTAGTGGTGATCACACATGTAACAAGAAGTGCGCTGTGGTGCTTAGTAAACATTTATCAGTTATGCACTTTTGTTGAGGTGAATATGTGGTATCATGAACCTGAGAAAGTTTGTCTCAGTCAATATCACTTTTTCAGATCCATATAACCACATATTCACCTAAAAGTTCTCAATTGTTATATTAGATGCTAAATAATGTTTCACTCATTTAAAAAAGATAGAAAGTATGGAAATTGTCAGGGAAAACATTTGAAAGGGATAGAAAATATGGAAATTGGCAGGGAAAAATACTACCTTTGGCAGAGGGCATTGTGACATTACAATTGAAATGAAGCCATGAAATGAGTATTGACATGCTGTACTAGACTGAGTCAATATCATAGTCATCAACCTCAATGACCTCCACACGATTATGCATCATCTAGCAAATATGTCACTATAAAACATATACCTGTATAATTATGATGGGTGATATACACTTCGTTCCTTAATTTACATTTTTTAGGATTATCTACATCATTCAAAGTTAATTCCTAGATTACAGCATTCCAGAAAAAGTACAATCTTGTTAAACAGGCAGGTTTCTTTGGTTTCGAAAATATTAATTTTCCTAATAAAACTATATTGGTTTTTTTATAATTATCACTACCGTCTAGAAATCAAGAATTCTATATGTATAGAAGCCTGCCAATTTAACAAAGCTTGACTGTTATATATAAACTACCCCAAACCACAAACAACGGTTGTGAACTGGGATCCACTGGGAACTGGTTTTTATCTATAAATATAGATTTGTTTGATGTACTTGTACATTGCATTTTGAAATTTTGTGTAATCAAATAAAATTTGTTTTTAATGCCTTTTTGTTAATTTCATTTTTATTATGAATTCTATTAACCTGACATCACTGCCATGTGTTCTTCCCAATATTCGTGGACAGTTCCTGAAAGTGACCCACTCATGTATGCTGAATACTTTTGAAACGATCCGGATCCCTTACTAAAGATAGGTACAGTTGTTGGTTCCTCACTGGTTACCAGAGCTGTGGGGGGCGGTTCTAAGATTCACATTCTGTCCTTCCGTATTTATTCTGTCTGTATGAAAAGTTTGTCGGGGCATACCTTTTATACGTTTTTCACCTGGAGTAACCATAATATAAAAACTAGGACATTGTGACCTTTGCTATGACCGTTGACATTAACCTTTGAAACAGTTTGTCCCGGGCATATCTTCTATACTATTCCCACTGGAGTAACCAGATTTGGTATTCAAATACATCCGGGGATGGTGGAGTGAAGGCTACGAGAAGTTGGACTCTTTGACGTTTGCTTTGACCTTAACCTTGGAAGAATATTTTCTCATGCATATCTGGTGAAGTATTGGGATGGTGTACAAGATGTAGGTCACTGTCACATATGCTTTGACCTTTGAGCTTATCCGGTGAACAAAAATATCACTGTATCAGGATATCTTTAAAGGTGGTTGATCAGATCTTAATATAAGTGTACAGCTTGGTAAATAAAGAAATAAATACCGATGAGGGACCATGGATTGACTTTTTCTTGTTGCATCATTGTTTTAGTTTGTACAACAGTAGTGGTGTTTTGGGGGTAATAAAACAAAACAAAAAATAAGACCAAAACCCGAAAACATTAAAATATGAACAAAGGAAAACTGCATGATGACCCTTGAAGATTTGTTTTGTTTTGTTTGTGTTTTACGTCCTATTATCGGCTATCGGCTATGGTCATTTAAGGACGTGCCAGGTTTTGGTGGTCGAGGAAAGCCAGAGTTCCCGGAGAAAAAAAACACCGACCTACGGACAGTACCTGGCGACTGCACCACGTAGGTCTCAAACCCGCGACCTAATGGTGGAAGGCTAGTGGTAGCAGAAATTCAGAAGACTTTGCCACCGCGGCCCGACCCTTTAAGAAGTACAAGTATAAAATAAAACCATGTGTTCGGGAGAGGTAAGCGTCATTTAAATCTAGGTCAACGCCGAGCAACGTCGTGTCCTCACATTTGATTCCCCCATTAAACATTGGCTTATTTTCTTGGACCCACTCAGCATCTTACCCGGAATACACTTGTCCATCGACTTTGGAAGTTGATTAAAATATTTCCTATCGTCATGGCATCACGCTTGTCGTTGAAGAATTGCCATGCTATCTTATATAATTAGGTCACTCTCTATTATACAAAAAACATCGTTTCTGGTTGGAAGTTTACTTTCATCGCTTTTATACTGAACTCCATAACATTTGGTCAGAAATTCCTGGTAAGATAAGTGCCGAAAAATGATTGCTTACGCAATTTCAGTAACCGTGTTTTGCTTCCCCACAACATGTTGCAGCTATTTGTACACCTTTAGAGTGTCAGGAATTGTGTACACAGTTATACATCATCCTGACGAATACTGTGGAATTAGATGTTTTCGCGGTGCAAATATTTTGGTGGTTTCCCGACAAAACACAATTTTGTGGGTATATGAATTCGTGGATTATCAGTACCCACTCAAACGGAGAATTACATTATATCAAACTTACAATTCATATTTCGTGGACCTATGAATTCGTGGATGAAGATTACCCACGAAATTAACGAAATTAAAAAAAAACACGAAAATTAGTGATTTCACAATACTTCTTGAGTGGCTTTATTAACAGCCAGAATAACACCCCTCTGATCCATATATGGAGACCGCATGGAACTGGTATATATGTAGGCGATGTGGTGTAACACACAACACACAAGCATTTCCCATTGCCCTTTCGTCCAAAAGTGATGTACCGCTGGGCGTGACTTATTGATCAACCTACGAGTCGGTACTAGTGATATTGTCTCTCTTACATAATAAATTGAAATATAAACAAAATGCAACTCGACCACGAAGTAAAAATTCCAACTGAAATTATTTTAGAAACAAACTTTAGCAGTATTTGAATGATATCTAAACTCAGAATCGTTTATCTGGGCAGTAGTCGGGTGTAACAATCACTTTTTCTCGCTACACCGGCAAAAAAAAACACTTAAAAAACTTTTTGAGTATTTTCACCAGTAGCTTGGCAGTCTGGTAAGAAACTATTTCCATCTGTCAACATTGATCAGTTACGAGTGATAGAACTAAAATGATACAGTAGTATAGATTTAAAGGGAGGGTATGGCTCCCCTGGGGGCAGAGGGGTGGGGTCCATTAGGGAGAACATGGAAATATGTTTAAATTCCTCCTCTTCATATAGTTGGGCAAAAGGAAATCAATTTTGTATAAATGAAGGGTGTGTATTTACTTGGGGCAGAAGGACAGGGCAAAGGGGATAATGTTAAAATATTCCTCCTTCTGAACGAATGGAGGGATTTGAACCAAATTTTGTCTAGAACATCCTTGAGTAAGGGAAATACACCTGTATATAAACGAAGGGTGTGACTCCCCTGGAGGCAGAAGGGCAGGAAAATTAGGGAGAGCATAGGAGAAATGCTTAAAATTTTATTACTTCTGAATGAATGGAGGTATTTAAACCAAATTTGGTGTAGAGCATCCTTAGACCAAGGGGAATCAATTTTTATAAATGGAAGATTTAGTGGTTAAGAATTGTACCAGTTGAAGGGCTGACCTCTGGGTGTGAGGGGTGGGGCAAACAAGGAAAGTTTAGCTTTGACATACCCGAGATCCAAACCCTTTAACCATGTATACAATTGCAGGGCATTAAGAGATATCACATTCATGATAAAATAATTGACTCTGGGGTCTGGCCCCACCCCTAGGGACTTGATCTCTGAAACATTACTTTGAAACAGTTGAGATCCCAACCCCATAACCATATTTACCATTGCTGACTATCAGGAGACGAACACATTCATGATATTATAATTGACTCTGGGGTTTGGTTCCATCCCTAGGGACATAATTCTTGGGTCATAACTTTGAAACAGTTAAGATCACAAATTCTCAGGTCCCTGTGAAATCAGTCACCATAAGTTTTTTTTTATAGAATGACGGTCTTGCGAAATACTAAAGCTAACACCGGTGATAACACACCCTGCTATCTGTCGAGACAGATTTACTGATTGATATGTACATGTATATATATATAGTCACATATCAGTATTTACACTAGCTATAGGTGTACACTCAGGTCGTGCTAGTTCCTAACGCTCGTCCCACTTTTTGACCAGATACTATCGTCCCACTTTTTGACCAGATACTCTTGTCCCACTTTTTGACCAGATACTCTCGTCCCACTTGATAGACAGACACTTAACCCATAGGTTGACCAGATATTTCTCCCCTCCGTTGACCAAAAGTCTCCTTCAAGTTATTATACACATCGCTAATTATTCCAAAATAAACATGTAAATCATAATTGACAAGAAAACCGTTGCTTAATTCAAAGTTTAAAATGAAACCATTGGTTAAAGAGATTCCAAAGATACTCTTCCAAAGGAATCTAAATTACATTTTCCTTCGCCTCTGGATTTTTTCTGTTGTCATCATCAGAATATAGACACTTTTTATAGAGAGAGCTAATGGTAAAATTGACTGTAAACTACACGAGAAATATAAATGCAGGATAATCAAAGTGATTATGATACTTCTTTAGAAATCCCGATTTTATTAAACCAAGAAAGCATTATTATCAAAGGTAGTGAAATCCTTCTACAGAAATCCATAAGATAAAGCTGTATCCCTAATTGAACAAATCACACATAATTAATGTCGTGTTAAAGTCAATTCGAAAATGTATAGTTGAAAATATTTGAACCGGTAACAAACAACATAAAAAGGTCGGGCTTCGGGGTAAGTTCAATTCATGTAGTCACTTTCTCCGGCAATATAATATCAAATAAAGAAGTACAGAGGGGGTGGGGGATAGACGCTCCTTTTCTTTACCTAATCCTTCAAGTCTTCGACGCTTTTGTGTATTCGATCGAAATAAAGATAGAACTGAATTAAATAACATGCATTGGCTATAATCGGTACTATGCCAGAAAATGGGTTCAGTATAGAAGATTAGTGACGAGACAGCATTTAAAGGGGTCTCCCTAAAACATGGAATTGACTGGAATTGACTATTCAATAAATGTGACCAGACCTAGCTATTTAATTGTTCACCTAAAGTGTTGTACACACAGGAGGTCGTACTTTTCTATAAGTTTCACTCTTTAAGATTGAAGTGTGGAACCACTTTAAGTAAACCTGCAAGTATGCGTTTTTAAATTAACATATAATTTTTTGATAGAAAATTCCTTTCTAGAAAGTTAACATGTATCGTGAGTGCGTTCCTCCTTCAATAATCCTGTAACTCACAGCGACAACTCGGCCTGTCCCATACTCTTGACAATTATCAGTGATTAAGCAATTCGAGGTAAATATTATCAACCTACTGTAATGTATTGCATTACAAATGTATGTATCAAGTGACACTGCCGCACAAATATTCACGAAGAAGATTTTTCAAAATTGTTTGCTTGACGTACAGAAAGCAATGAAAATCCCTTAGCCACAGGTTTAAGGTTATAAAATTAGTAAGAAAATATTTTGTATGAAAATTAATTGTAAATTTGTTAAACCATTACAGTTTTTTTTTTGGTGAAAGTTCACGGGAATAAAAGCGATTTAGGAGATATTTTAGGCAAGACTATATTCAAAGCCTGGATGAGGAAGTTGACTACGTTTTAACCTTGATTTCATCTTCGTAGCAGAGAAGAGAGAGAAAAAGTAACAATAGAAGTTTGAGCCTAGTTCATACAAATGAGGGATTGAAATTTATTTTGGTCGATTTTTTTTCCCATAGAAGAAGACAAACATGAAAGTATCCAATTCTGCATGGGGTTCAGGCATTAGTTGCCTCTAACGATCATGCGGTGGGTTACAATCCCCGGCTGCAGGGATGGATTTTATTGAAGTTGTCTGCTTACAGTTCGTGTATATTTATTTACACAGTGACGTATTAGCAGTGAGTTTCAATGTACGGAAACTTGTACGGGTCATCGAAAAAATAATATTTCGAAAAAAACCTATAACTATGTCGTTATATACCTATTTATCATTTCGTTATAATACCATTGCTATGCTGTTAGAGCGAATTTCTATCGGTGTCGTTATAACGACTTACTGTAAGACGTTATAGCGAGCTAGTGAATTAGGCCTCCGTACCATGTTTATCATTTTCTTCAAACTCTCCCTACCATTGATCCTAGCCAGTTCTTATATTCTGAAACAGCACATCTCTATTCTAGCTCACTTACTTTTGATTTTTTCGCATTTTTTGTGAAGTAGTTTTACACATTTTAGGGGTTTACATCAAACTTCAGTAAAAAATGCCACCCCAATGATGATATCATAAAACGTGTAAAATTACTCTGAACACCTTAATTAGTTTAAGTCCAAATAAAGTTGTACCAAATCATCTTGAGTCCCTGTACTACTTTTATAAAGAGTACAAAGTCTCAAATCTGGATAAAAGATCTGTTGACTGTAGATACAGGTCTTGCCAACACGATGGACGAGTGGCATGTCAAAAACTGGGACGAGTGTCAAGATCTAGTACGAGGTTTGTGTACATATATATAGTATCTACGTTGGTCCCGTCACAGTTAACAAAATATACATAGAGGCCGTTTCTCTGTGTTGACACCGGTTATACATGTAGTATTAGCGTATCTCTATCGTCTGCTGATCTGGGCAGTACCAGGTAATCCCGGATATATGTGTACAGCCAAATTTACATTTTCAGGTATTCAGTTTTTAGTGACACATAACTTTAACGTGAACACTTAACAGACTTCAGGACACTGCTGGGATTGCAATGTGAGTAGTCAAATACTTCCCTCAATTATATCTCGCCCTAGCGTGTCGCGATCGTGAACCGGCCCCATGTGTGGTTCACTGTACCAGAACACGGTCCATAACGATATGTTAAGGTAAAGGTCAGTTATAATCGAAAAGAAGAGTTCCATTCACTGTTAGTACTCGATCCTTCTTTATATGTCTGACGAGGCAACTTCAGAATCTCTTGACATGTTCACATCTTTAAAACCAAACTTCACTCTCTAAACCATTAAGTACTAAACATCCTTCTTTAGCATTGCATACACTTTCACATCCCTACATTGACATAATCTTGACTTCAATATGATGAAGTAGGTCAATTATTCGGTAGACGTTGACGCAACCAAATGGACTTTTTCTGACTTTAGAGTAACCTCACATGTGAAGTTTTTTATACAGTGACCCATACATTGGAAACTTAGGTAAAGTGCAAGGTTTGTAATGTAAAAATTCCGAGTCCGACCCTTGCAGTTTTCTTGTTTATCTTTTATTATCATTATTAGACCTAGCTCACCTGGTCCGAAAGTATGGGGCGTCCGTCGTTCGTTCATCAATCTCCTAGACCACATATTGGAAATTGACCAGATTTGAATGGAAGCATCCCTAGGTTGTGGGGATTCAGAATTGTACAAATTAGGGGGTTGATGGGCGGGGCAAAAAAGGGATAATTTGACCTTTGGCCATATTGCTTGAAGAGACTTCTTCTCTTGAACTAAGAGAAGGATATCAACCATATTTGATTGGAAACATTCTCAAGTGTTATGGGTTTTGAATTAAACAAACGGAAGGGTTGACTCCCCAGAGGGCTGAAAGGTGGGAACAATATGGCTATATTGCTGTAAGCGACTTTTTCTCTTGAACAAAATGATGGGTATCAATCAGTGGTTAAGAATATAAAACTGTACCTGTTGAAGGGTCTGACGGGCAGGGCCAAAAAGAATTAGGACAATTTTCGAGATCCCCACCCTATAACCATATATTCAATTGCCGGGCATCAAGATAAGAACACAATCAGGATATAACAACTGATCCTGGGGTCTGGCCCCACCTTAAGGGACGTAGTTCAAGAGCCATAACTTTTAAATGATTTGGATACCCACCTCATAACCATATATACATGTTACATTGCTCGGCATCAAGAGACGAACACAATCATGATACAATTGTGGGATCGCACAACGTTACACGATGTGCGGTGTGCGCGCGATGTGTGCACGGTGTGTGAATGTGTGCACGATGGACGGACGTTTTGCGATAACAATCGTGGTTGGTGTAAATTGAGGAATGCCTTAACAATTTATACGGTTTCGTGTTTAAACATATAAACTTGATGTTTATGTATGTTTCTATATTCTAACGACATCTATAAACTTATCTTTCTGTCTATACATTCTTATATTTAGAAATTGTGTATTCTGTGTTTTTAAACAAACTTAATCGACACATGTAAAATTACAACACAATCCCGTATACAGGTAAACATAACCACTTTGTACATGCATGTACCTGGACCGTAGTTTTCTCCCCGACGTAACTCGTCGGTTTAGTTTAAATCAATTTTATTGCAACAAAAGACAAATGGATTGGACAAAAGTTATCGCAACTTACTTACGTCCTTTCCGTAACAGAAAATATATATACAAAATTAATGAGTCGCGTAATAACCTAATACAATTCATATATGTATATATATATAAGATGTTAAAGATGGGGAACAGCAAAAGAGGTAATGATAGGATTAGGGACACCAACGTATAGTTTTTAAATATGTATTCGGAGAGTTTACTTGAGATCGCGTGCGTGATTTTCCCAATCAAGTCGGCGTAAGCAGTATAACTAATCTATACATACATGGCCTTCTGCTTTCCTAAAGTTCAATCACATTCCGTGCCGCATTTGCCTTTCTCCTGTGTCACTCCAAGTCCTTTTGTGAATTTGTCGGTTATGGCCGGGTGTGTGAAAATCCAGGTGAAGGGGAGCTATAGGCAAACGAATGCAAATAACAAATATTATTCATTAGGGCCAAACGGTATCGCATATCAGCTCTGTGTGTCAGGTACTGGGCAGGTAAAACTCCGGACACTCATGAAATTGTATAATCTTGATTATTGTGATGAGAAATAACAGATATATACACTGTATACATTATCGCATACGAGCCTTCCGTATTTTTGTCATTCCGTAATTTTGATATACAAATGATACCAAATCGCACAGTTGTGCGGAGAGAAGCGCACAACGGGGCGAACGATTGCTAAATCGCACAGTTGTACGCACCATGTGTGGACGATGTGCGGACGGTGTGTGAATGATGTATGCACGGTGTGCGCACGCTATTTTTGGTGCGTTGTGCGATCCCACAACTGTATAATAATTGACCCTGGGTTCTGGCCTCATCCAAAGGGATTTACTTGGAGAGCTATAGCTTTGAAATAGTTGAGATCCCTGTTGCATAACTATATATATACCACTGTTAGGCATCAAGAGACGGACACAATCAGGATATCAGAATTGACTCAGGGGTCTGGCCTCACCCTTAGGAGCTTAGTTCTTTGTTCATAGTTTTGAACGGTTGAGATCCCAAACACATAACCATATATACATACCATTACTAGGCATCGAGAGACGAACACAATCACGGTATTATAATTGACTCTTTGGTCTGACCTCACCCCTACGGACGTCATTCTTGGGTCATATTACTGCTTGGCATCAAGAGATGAACACAACCACGATATAAGTATTGACCCTTGGGTCTGGTCCTACTACTACCCCTACCCCTAGACCATGCAGGACTAAATTTCTAGGCTATAACTTTGAAATGGTTGAAATCCCAAATCCATAGCTATATATACCATTCCTTGGAATAAAGAGTCAGTGAGCGACACAGGCCACCTGTGCCTCTTGTTTCTGTTTTCAAACAATTCGAATTTACAATACCCACAATTCTCTCGAATCCATGGCAACATATGATTTTTATGAAATATTTTAAACTAATATTTCACAATAGTGACAGTAGTAATAAGATTGTTTAACCTGCTGATACCATTTACCTTAAGGTAGCATATTAAAGTAATTTATCAGAAACATAAAAATACCTCCAGTAGGATATTAGGTATATCTTTGAATGAACGCCATTGGCATGGTGTCAAGTCCCGGTATTATAAAAGTAAATTCTGAAGATATACATTCAAGACGGTGACGTAATATGGGGAACCATGATCCCCTCCTTTATGGGGGAGCTGGCAATACCTGGTGTGACGTTTCCTTATTCATATGCCATACCGCGTACATGTATTTTTGGGTCAGTTTGATTATTTCAACACTGATGGGGATTTCACCACCTAACATGATAATCCTGACATAGACCGGGGGTTCTATGACTATTACTTTGACATGAGCAAGTCTGCAAGCGCTCAATTCCATAAAACCAGGCAAACAACCATATAGACTGAAATTTATCCTCAGCATGCACCATTTATACATAAATCGATTCCATCCTCGAAATGCCAGGAGTTAGACCCACTTATGTTTCGGCATTATATATATCATGACAAAATCGAAGGCACAAATGTGATTCAGGTTAAAAAAAACACCTGACCAATCGCTAGGCTGATACCTGTCCCCTTGAATAGCACAGAGGTGTGATACCCGGCTTTCAAGCTGGTCAATGTTACCGTTTTGCTGCCGCGCGATTCCGTTGATGTGCTTCCATCCATGAGGCGACATGTACAGTACAGATCCTTCGATTTCGTAATGACATATTCCTGGGGACTCGAACTTCAAGGATACAATCAACCTGTGATGACATGTTTACACATTGTCCTTATCAGTGCACTTATACCGATGATATCAATTACAGGATAATATTTTTTTTATTTACATCTGTTATCGGTGATATATAGAGGTCGATAAACAGGTAGCCATACATAAAATGCAATTTTTTAACCCGTCGCCGATGTGTCATAAGAATTTGCATTTCGGTTCTTTTCTATCACTCATCTAAGTCGCAATACAGTAGAATTAATTAAAATGATAGGCTAACGGGTCGTATTGAACTTGTATATAAAGGTATTGATATCATGTTGCTTACTAGTATACAATGGTAGAATTGACGAAGGAAAGTAATACACTTGGGTAATGATTAGCATCTAGTGCTTGTTAAGCCTCGCTCTGAAGGCGTGTAGATAGGGAGCTTTCAAAAATGTATGAATAGTTTTTCCAGTTATTAAGCTTTTCGATGTAACTATGGGATGTCTTTCAGGCGCGTAGCTAGCCCCTTTACCATGTGTAAGCCCCGACATGGGGTTGCCGTAGACACCCCCCCCCCCCCCCCCCC